TTGTTGCCATGGCGTCAAAACTTGGGGTGCACGAAAAAATCGATTCTTACATGAATCGCGTTTCTGTCTTCTAACGATTCTAATGAATTCACAAGTTTCAAAATCAAAGTTCTAAAGCAGCGGTTCTTAATACTGTTCCTCATGTCCTCCTGGTCTGCTCTGCATCGCTCTCTCTCATCAGCTCCATCAATGGACTGTGTTCCAATTATACACTTTATGTGTATAGACAGACAGATATTTTTCACATAGCTAGAAGCGTTAAATATGGATGCGCATGCGGTTGCCATGCTGTATCACAGCTTTAATCAGGATAAAACCGTATATTAAAAGCTAACTTAAGCAGTAGCATTTACAAATAACAGCTTATCTAAAAGTATGAGACAACAACAAACAAAAACATACCATTAAGAGCCATTGCACAGGTTCTGCACGATCGTTAGACGTGCACTAGAGGCGGTTTAGCGAATCACAACACACTGGGTCAGCTAACCAATCTGAGCCCATTACGTATTTCTGACGGAGAGGCTTCATAAAATCAGGAAATCATCAGAGCGTTCAAAGGAGAAGGGACAGAGCAGTGTAGAATAAAAGTAAATGTTGAAAAAGAATAGGTTATGTAAAAAAATAATGCGTTTTTAAAAATAGACGTCACCCCATAAACACAATCAAGCCTAGAAAAAAATAAAACAGTCAGCCACCCCTTTAATCAGAGGAAATGTTTCAAAATCTGTTTCATGAAGACAAGCACATGGTGACAGCAACAAAGAAAAACTCTGTTTGAAGACAAAGAAGGAGAAACAACATGTAGAGAAATCTCAGAAAGAAAATCCATCTTCTATCCTTGATTGATATTTATTCTTCAAAGTATCTTGAAGAATGGCAGTGTAGACTGAAAATGTGTTAAATCTGCATCGATATTTGTAAACTAGTGCTGGGAATTTAAGAATCAGGTACAGTATTAGGTGAAAGAGCCACCATGGTTGTGTATTTCCACAACAAAAGGGTCAGTCAAATCCTGTAATGAAAGTTTTGTTGTGGTGCCAGTGTGGATCGACGCCGCGACACACAAACACACGCTTCACTAACTCTCACATCCATCATGCGAGGAAGCCCTGTGATCTGTTTCAGGTTGTCATGAGCTAATTACAGGTGCGGGAGACGGAAGGCTGATAGCACTGCTCTGTCTCTCTCTTTATGTGAGTGTGTGTTGACTCTCTGCAGAGCGTTACAGGATCCAGAGCGAGAGCTTTGAGGATATCTGGCTAGTAGCCAAGGAGCTGGTGCAGCGTTTCGACCGGCACTTTGCCTCCCTTGGAGTCAAAGACTTTCAGAACAGCTTTACTGGACCAATTCCGCTGCCTGAGTACTTTGAGACAGTGGACCACCACTTTGAGGTGTGAAGTTTCTCACATGGTCACACATATTTAAATCAGATTCTTGACATATGGAAGCATATAGTTGCATCCTAAATAAGTACTGTATGACATGAAAACATAACCCTCTGAGTAATGTTTTCTCATTTTGTGGGAATATTTGTAGCTTCGTGTGAATGCGCAGAAGTATCAGGATTTGCTGTCGGAGAGAGCTGTCCAGTTCAGGGCCATCCAGCGCCGTCTACTGACCCGCTTTAAAGACAAAACCCCAGGGCCACTTCAAAACCTGGACACACTGATGGAGGGAACCTACCGCCAAGTAAGCACAATTACACAAAGACATACTAGAGATGAAAGGGACAGTTCACCCAAAAAATGAAAATTTGCTGTTAATTTATTCACCCTCAGGCCATCCAAGATGTAGGTGCCTTTTTTTTTTCTTTTTTTTTTTTAAGTACACTGTGGTAACGGTGGTCTTTTGTGATTCATAAAATGCAAGTCAGCGGCTGCCTGTCTTTGAGAATAAAAAAGCATATTAAGAAACACAAAATTAGTACCTTTGGCTCCTGTCGATATATTGTGGTCTTATGAAGAGAAACTATTGGTCTGTGCAAGAAACCGTACATTATTTACAACATTATTACCTGTTCTTTACTTACAAACCCAAACAAGAGGCTGTTCAATAAACATTAACCTGAACCTGAACAGAAACCCATCAGGCTTGGCTTGGGTCAGGTAACAGACCTCTTAGAGACATGCACACATATTGACATACTGCAGGCAGTGTTTAATGTGTAGTGGACTTTAGAAATAGTTTTATAGTTTTATTGAGATTAATCACAAAGCCTCTGAAATGCAATATAAATGTTTCATATTTCTTTTCCTAAAAGCTAAATTTTTAGGATACATTTCAAGACATGCAATGCATTTTATCCATTGCGTATGTGTGGGTCTGACTGATTTTTCATTTATTGTGTGAGATTTCGAATAATAAATGCACAAAGTCACAGATAGACACTATTGACGACAGACAATGAATGCAAAATTTTGTTAATGTGACCGCACCTTAAAAAGCAATCAGTTTTGCCGACTGGTGGTTGACTTTCTGCTGAAGCTCAGCCAGTTATTCCTGTACCAATTACATCACCTATTTGAAGATCTCTCTCAAGTCTGACTGATTTTTCATTTATTGTGTGAGATTTCGAATAATAAATGCACAAAGTCACAGATAGACACTATTGACGACAGACAATGAATGCAAAATTTTGTTAATGTGACCGCACCTTAAAAAGCAATCAGTTTTGCCGACTGGTGGTTGACTTTCTGCTGAAGCTCAGCCAGTTATTCCTGTACCAATTACATCAAGTCCCATACTGTGCATATTTGATGACAGTATGATGGGGAGTGGGGTGCTGTTCCCAAGCCTTACTTTTGATGTCAAGTAGGCCCTTGGGCTGCTGGACACCTGCCTGATGCCATATAACATATAGCGTGAAGTTACACTTGGGCCCGTCCTTGGCCTCCACCCACCATAGCATTTACTTCAGTGTTTGGTTGAACCTCTCGGCCAGACCATCTGTCTGCAGGTTGCAAGTGAGTTGTACAGAAAGCACCAGAACATTTTTGTACGCTTCTGTTCAAAAGTTTAAAATCAGTTAAGATTTTTATTTTAAAGTGCCCCTATTATGGGTAATGAAAGGTCCATATTTTGGTTTTGGGAGTCCCCAACAACAGGTTGACATGCATGCAAGGTCAAAAAACACTTTCATCGTCTTATAATATGAATTTATTTTTACCTTAATTGCTCAATGACTCCCAAACGATTCGCTCAACGATTCATTTTTCCAAACCCCTCCTTTGCGTGACGCTAATCTGCGGTGATTGGTCCGATTGGTCTCATTTTCATTTCATCATGCCTGTAATGCCTGATAAAGCAGCGTTTGTGAGCGCAGTGCTGCTTTGTGTACAGCCGTTACTGGGGAAACTGCTATTTTTACCACTCCAAAAGTGGCACCTAGTGGCAAAGAATGAATTTGCATTTTCATTCAGACCAACACGAAAAGACCAACAAGTGGGCGGGCAATATGCTAATGTTTCATGTTGACCTCAACATGAAACGGCTTGGGATTCGTTTTAAAAACGACTCGTTTCAATGATTCAGAGTCAACTCTTTCTTTTGAGAGACAATAACTTTATACACGGTGCACTTTCAGATTTAAGACTTTGCAGGATGTTTTCATTCACTTAGAGCTGTGTTACACACTGCATGAAATGTCATTTTCAAAAATCCATAATAGGGGCACATTAAACAAATTTTTATTCAGTAGGGACACATTATATTAAATTATATTAAAAGCATACAAAATTGAATTGACAACAAACTTTTAAACAGTAGTGTGCATTCTTAGCCATTAGATTTGTTTCTGACTGGCATTTAGAACAAGGCACTGAATGTCTATTACCAAACTCAGCATTGCACAGTTGCTTTAAAAAAAACTTTCAGGATTCAGAGATGAATACACTGTTGAGTTGTTGACATGCTTTTCCGATGACATATTTTTTGTTACACAACATGTTCATGTCACTCATAGAAAGTAGATGCATCTCCATCATTACACATTAACAGTCTGTGGGTTGTCATCTACCATGTGTCTGATGCTCTGGATGCTTGTGGGCAGATAAGATTTCACTTGCTCATTCCTTCTTAATCCCACTCTCATTCCTCTGATCATTTATTTGTGTGGATAAATCCCTTTGCTTCTAAATTCGGGATCAACAAGAATTCTTGAGGAATGTGATTCTTGAGAGATGTGTTGAGGTCTAGAGAGCACCGACCGTCGATGTTTCTCACAAATATTTTTCCTCGTAAGAGAGCTTTAAAAAGGCTTCTGTATGTGTGTGCATTTCACTGTGAGCTGTGTGGCTCCCTGTAATTAGCAGTTGAAAGGTGAAGGTGGCTGGCCAGTGAATGACAGCTCACTGCGGGGCCCCTGCACTCATAATGGAGGCCTCTCTCCAACAGCCTTGATTTATTTGAGTCCAAATGGAGTGCTAAACTGGGCTAAATGCTGCTCAACACTGATCCTCCTGTCTACAATAATGGCCAATGGTCTGAGATCTGGAGGCATGTGCTTCCATGTACATGTGTCTGTTTGATGCCAGGTTCAAAGGGTACTCTCAGGTACTGCTTCTGTTTGTGTAACCTATGAAAGGCCTTAGGGAGTTCCTGTTTTTCTTCTCCTGCTCTTTTCCTTTTTTCCTCTCTTCATCAGCACATATACGCCTCATTCATAGTCAAGGGCACAGGCACAAAGAAACATTGATGTAGGCTGCTTAGATTTGATCTGATTTCCAAGGGTTTATAGCCCAATTCTTTGGGCCTTAAAACAGTGACTCCCGAAACATATTATAATCATGCAATTAAAATTTCTTGATTTATTTTGTTTTGTTTGTTTGATCAAATTCAGTACAAAAATGTGTTCCAAGTCTAAAGGCCCACTAAGAAGGATAACGATAACTATATTAATATACAAAACAACACAAGATATCATTATATTTATTATAAGCATGCACTGCAGTTATGTCCTCTGGTGCTTTAAATGCTCAAGCTCATTGTTTTTATAGTTCAACAGCTGGAAAAAAACATAGTTCTGAATGTGAATCAACCGATATTGTTACACTGTGACATTATTATTATAGTTGTTGTGTGGACATCCCTATTGTATTAGAATTAGAACATTATAGTTATCATCCTTGGTGTAAACAGGTGATCATTTGTGGGTGGAAGTCTGTATACACAGTCACAAATGCAGTCCCATAGGGGGCGATAGAGTTACCTTCAAATGTCTGTACATTTACATCAGATTTGTTGTTATTCAGGTTGCTAGCCACAACAGGCTGAGCAGTGTGAGTTTGTATTATTTTGTGTAAAACACTGTATGTAAATATAGTCGCACAGGTTTTGACAAGTTAAAGCATTAAAGAAACAATGCCTGAATAAGAAAATACAGTGCAGGTCGTGCTTGATGTTAAAAAGAGTTCTTAAAGCTGCAGTCCGTACGTTTTGCCTCTTTGTCGCCATCTCTGTCTGAAAACCTGGAATTGCAGCTGTTAGTGGAATTATCTAGCTTGCATGGGTTGTGAGTTGGCACGGCTCCAGCGTGGATGAATCTAATGTTCTGAAGAGTATGTGTGGCAGTCAGTCACCGCACCTGTGGGGATATTTACTGTACTTCGCAATCACAGATTCTAGCCTACGTATTGGAATATGACCCAAATAAGAATTTTAAGTAAGTAACAAGTCTGCCACGTTTGTTCTGACCAACTGAGGAAAAAAGCACTACCATAAATCTCGCTACCAATGGTGATTAAATCTAAAGATCGGTTAGCTCATATCACATCAAACCGTTCAAATTATTATTATTGTTATACTTTATTCTCAAATGATTAATGTTACACAGCAGTGAACACACACACAGCAGTGAACACACACACACCGTGAACACACCCGGAGCAGTGGGCAGCCATTTATGCTGCGGCGCCCGGGGAGCAGTTGGGGGTTCAGTGCCTTGCTCAAGGGCACCTCAGTCGTGGTATTGAAGGTGGGAGAGAGCGCTGTACATTCACTCCCCCCACCTACAATTCCTGCCGGTACGAGACTCGAACCCACAAACTTTGGGTTATGAGTCCGACTCTCTCAATAAACGATTGGCCACCTGCAGGATCCTCACATGCGATAGCCTAGTAGCCGGGACAACTTCTTTATGTTTACAAACGTGACGTAATGACGCAGTGCCATGCTCGAATTTCCCGCGAAAACCTACCCGTACCACTCAAATAAGAAAACATTGTTATAAACTAACCGTTGTGAATCGGGCTAAAGTAAGGCGATAGTTTTGAACACTGTCTGGTTATGTAGTTATGTGGATAATTTTTAACCAAAAAAGTTACGGACTGCAGCTTTAAGATGCAGTACTCACACGGTCTAATGCACGCACGAAGCATACAGAAACTGTGTTTATAAGATTTGGTCATATCACCCACCCCCATATAACTTTAAAAGAAACTGCTCTGACATTACAGTAATTGACCTGACTGAATAAGCTGCTAATAGAAGAAGACAGTTGTGCTGATAATTGTTATAGCACCCCTTGTGGCAAGGCTGAGAATGTGCAGCACACTTTTGAATTGTGTTCTGACAAATTTACAAATGATACAATGTGTGAAATTAAGTTTGCATAGCTACAAGTGCACTCTGACATAGAGCATTCAAGCCTGGCATAATATGTGTAAAATGCTTTTAGAATTAAGCAGTCTACA